TTAACAAATCGAAAAATTGAAAAGCAGACTAAAACCAGGAAGTCGAAAAATCGAAAGATTAAGAAATATTGAAAAATTTAAAAATCCAAAAATTGAAAAATCGAAAAAGTAAAAAGGTAGACACATCAAAAAATCCAGAAGTCAAAAATAGAAAAGCGAAAAAATTGAAATATTGAAAAATCCTAAAACTGAAATATCTAAAAACTGAATAATCGAAAAATCGAAAAACTGAAATCGAAAAATAGAAACCTTAAAAAATCGAAAAATTGAAAAATCAAAAACCTAAAAAATCAAAAAATTAAAGAATTGAGGAACAGGAAAATCGAAAAATTGAGAGTTAATAAAAGTCAAATTTAAAAAATTAAAAAATCGAAAATTTGGCAAAATGAAAATCTAAAACTGGGAAGTCGAAAAATCGAAAGATTAAGCAATCGAAAAATTAAAAAAATTGACACATCGAAAACTCCAGAAGCCAAAAATCGAAAAGTCGAAGAATCGAAATACTGAAAAATCCCAAAACTAAAATATCGAAAAACTGAAAAATGAAAGAAAAACTAAAAATGGGAAACTAAATCGGGAAATCAAAACATTGAAAAATCGAAAAATTTAAAACGACAATTGAAAACAGAAAATCTAAAACCGGGGAGTAGAAAAATCGAAAGATTAAGTAATCGAAAAATTGAAAAATCGAAAAAGTAAAAAAATCGGGACATCGAAAACTCCAGACGCCAAAAATCGAAAAGTCGAAGAATCAAAATACTGAAAAATCCCAAAACTGAAAAATGGAAAACCTGAAAAATCCGAAAACTGAAATATCCAAAAACTGAGAACCTAAAAAATCGTCAAATTGAGCAATAGAAAAATCCAAAAAGTGAAGTCGAAAAATTAAAGAATTGAAGAACAGGAATATCGAAACCCTCTAAAGTCAAGAAATGGGAAAATCAAAACATCGATTAATTGAAAAATCAAAAAATTGACAGTTTATAAATGTCAAATTCGAAAAATGGAAAAATCAAAATTTGAAAAAACGACAACTAAAAAACAGAAAATATAAAATCGGGAAGTCGAAAAATCGAAAAATTAAGAAATCGAAACATTTGAAAAATTGAAATATGGAAGAGCTGAAATGAAAAATCGAGAAATCGAAAAATCAAAAATTTAAAAATCGAAAAAGTAAAAAGTCGACACATCGAAAAATCCAGAAGTCAAAAATGGAAAAGTCGAAGAACAGAAATATTAAAAAGTCCCAAAACTGATGTATCGAAAAACTGAAAAATGAAAGAAAAACTGACGAATCAAAAAACTGAAAAATCGAAAAATCAAGAAAGTGAAGTCGAAATATTGAAACCTTAAAAAAATCGAAAAATTGAAAAATCAAAAACCTGCAAAATCATAAGATCGAAAAATTGAATACTAAGTAAACTGAAAAATCCCAAAACTGAAATGTCCAAATACTGAGAAATTAAAAAATTGAAAAATCGACAAATAAAGAGTTTATAAAAGTCAAAAATTGAAAAATCGAAATATTTAAAAATCGTAAAATTGAAGAGAAAAACTGAAAACCGAGAAATTGAAAAATTGAGAAATTGTAAAATCTAAAAATTGACAGTTTATAAATGTCAAATTAGAAAAATTGAAAAATCGAAAATTTGAAAAAACGACAAGTAAAAAACAGAAAATCTAAAATCGAGAAGTCGAAAAATCGAGAAATCGAAAAATCTAAAATTTTAAATATTGAAAAATTAAAATATCAGAAAACTGAAAAATCGAAAAATTGAAAAACAGAAAATCTAAAACCGGGTAGTCGAAAAATCGAAAGATTAAGAAATCGAAACATTTGAAAAATTGAAATATGGAAGAGCTGAAATGAAAAATCGAGAAATCGAAAAATCAAAAATTTTAAATATTGAAAAATTAAAATACCAAAAAATTGAGAAACCTAAAATTTAAAAATCGAAAAAGTAAAAAGTCAAAAATGGAAAAGTCGAAGAACAGAAATATTGAAAAGTCCCAAAACTGATGTATCGAAAAACTGAAAAATGAAAGAAAAACTGACGAATCAAAAAACTGAAAAATCGAAAAATCAAGAAAGTGAAGTCGAAATATCGAAACCTTGAAAAAGTCGAAAAATTGAAAAATCAAAAACCTGCAAAATCGTAAGATCGGAAAATTGAATACAAAGTAAACTGAAAATTCCCAAAACTGAAATGTCCAAATACTGAGAAATTAAAAAATTGAAAAATCGACAAATAAAGAGTTTACAAAAGTCAAAAATTGAAAAATCGCAATATTTAAAAATCCTAAAATTGAAGAAAAAAACTGAAAACCGAGAAATCGAAAAACTGAAAAATCGAAAAAGTAATAAAATCGACACATCGAAAACTCCAGAAGCCAAAAATCGAAAAGTCGAAGAATCAAAATATTGAAAAATCCCGAAACTGAAATATCGAAAAACTGAAAAATGGAAAACCTGAAAAATCCGATAACTGAGAACCTAAAAAATCGGAAAATTGAGCAATAGAAAAATCCAAAGAGTGAAGTCGAAAAATTAAAGAATTGAAGAACAGGAATATCGAAACCCTCGAAAGTCAAGAAATGGGAAAATCAAAACATCGATTAATTGAAAAATCAAAAAATTGACAGTTTATAAATGTCAAATTCGAAAAATTGAAAAATCGAAAAATTGAAAAAACGACAATTAAAAAAAAGAAAATCTAAAATCGGGAAGTCGAAAAATCGATTGATTAAGAAATCAAAACATTTGAAAAATTCGAAAACTTGAAAAGCTGAAATGAAAAATCGAGAAATCGAAATCTAAAATTTTAAATATTGAAAAATTAAAATATCAAAAAACTGAAAAATCGAAAAATTGAAAAACAGAAAATCTAAAATCGGGAAGTCGAAAAATCGAAAGATTAAGAAATCGAAACATTTGAAAAATTGAAATATGGAAGAGCTGAAATGAAAAATCGAGAAATCGAAAAATCTAAAATTTTAAATATTGAAAAATTAAAATATCAAAAAATTGAGAAACCTAGAATTTAAAAATCGAAAAAGTAAAAAGTCGACACATCGAAAAATCCAGAAGTCAAAAATGGAAAAGTCGAAGAACAGAAATATTGAAAAGCCCCAAAACTGATGTATCGAAAAACTGAAAAATGAAATAAAAGCTGACGAATCAAAAAACTGAAAAATCGAAAAATCAAGAAAGTGAAGTCGAAATATCGAAACCTTAAAAAAATCCTGCAAAATCATAAGATCGAAAAATTGAATACAAAGTAAACTGAAAATTCCCAAAACTGAAATGTCCAAATACTGAGAAATTAAAAAATTTAATAATCGACAAAAGTCAAAAATTGAAAAATCGTAATATTTAAAAATCGTAAAATTGAAGAGAAAAACTGAAAACCGAGAAATTGAGAAATTGTAAAATCCAAAAATTGAAAAATAAATAAGAGTAAACTAAAATTTCGAAAAACTGAGAATTCGAAAGTTGAAACAGCAGAAATTATGTTCGGAACCAGTTAGGATGTGTATGAGACCACGGCTTATAATCGTTTCCGAACGCTTAGAGTCGACATTGGCCTGCGTGCGCTCTGGTCTGTAGATCAAACAAGTTCTCAGACGACGAACTGTAATTCGTGTGACCTGAATTAAAGTGAAGGAAACAGTAAGCAGCTTGTAATATATAAAACGCGTCGTTAAAAATATTATGACATTTTTTCTAGTTAATTTTATTCATAGTTGGAAACAAACACTGTTGCCAAAATAAATCGAAGAGTCCTCAGACGAAAACGTCCTTTAGGGGTCATGATAGGTCGAGAAAATGCAAAAATAGAGAGTCGGCCGACGGACACGATTACAATACTTCCCTTGCTTACGCTCGCGAAGTAAAAAATAACCTTTTCAACGTCCTTACTCGCTTAACCAACAATAAATTAATAAATCGAGCCACAAATACCTCCGACGCCGAAAAAATTAACTCTCCAAAGGCCACCATTCCTTGTTCGATCCCCTCGGACCGTCCACGTCTTCATCGTCACCCGAACACACTCGGCCTTATTGTATCCCTGAATATTTCATGCCTTTGTTACCGCGTTGATGTCAGAACCCGATAAACGCGACATTATTAAAGTGTCCCTCTACGACAAACAAACGAAAAACGCTGCCGTAAAAAATAGTGTCGCCTTAATTACTCGAGACACCTCTTTGAAAACTCCACGACTTTAATAAACGTCAGACGTCGCGCTTTGTATTTCTAAATGTAGCCGAGCAGTTGCTTATTTAGGATTCATTTATTCAATAACGCCGTGTTTGCGTTATCGAAAGAGAACGACTTCCTGTCGCTGGAAGAAAAAAATCGTAACGACGGCTCTATTTTCTCGAAACTAAGACAACTAATTAATAAAAATTGGAAAATCGCGACGAGATACCAAGACATCAAAGTTGATTAATGAATTAATTAAGAAAGTTGGGGTTAAAATCCGATGGCGGGGTTGTGCGTGCAATAAATACGGCGTCAGCTGGGGCCAACGGTCTCGGACACGATATTAGCTCAAAACGAGTGAAAAGGGGTACATAAATATAGCCAGACTTGTTTTTTAGCGGATATAATTAAACGAATCCTACCGACTGCGCCACTTTCGCAACCGTTTCCACAATTTTTGCTTTTCGCGTCCAGAAATCATCATTTATGACTTGCATACGTCATATTAAAACGTAATAATACGTTTCAGACGTTTGTAATATCAGCGACTTGACGTTTCGAACATAATGTGACGTTCCTCATTCAATTGCTGGCGTTTCGGTTGTTGTTTTAATATTACTGTCACTGGCAGACGAGTTTAACCAACGCCCAAGGGGAACGCGCGAGTCTCTATCCTACTTGTGAAAATTTTCCAGCTAACTAAAAAACGACTTCTGACATCCTTCACCCGTTTTATTATTAATAAAGAAGTGATGTTTAGAACCCTAGTTTTTCCTTTTGCTCGTATACTCACTGCAACATGTAGGAGCTTCCTGATGGCCTGATTGTGCCCCGTTCCGCAGTAAGCCATAGCTAGCGTGTACATGCCCGACCTTCTTAAGATGGGATCCTTGTCGGAGGTGAGTTGTTCGATCAAAGGATCGGCTTCCTCGAGCCGACCGTACATGGTGAAAGCTATGCCGACCGCCAATCCTCTGAGGATCTTCTCATGCTGACTCTCCTGGGCGTACTATAAAGAAAAACACAACATAAATTTCGTTACGAGCCGCCCGTAAAATTACAAGGTGTAGACACCTTCTCGCGTTATGGGTTTTAAAACTGTATTCAGCCTTAAAAAAAGATACGACCTGACGCGCTTAAGCTGTTGAAATTCGAGCGTTAAAGGCTGCATGGCGGTCTAAAAATAAATCGCTTCTGGATGCGTGATTACACGAGATTTAATGTTCTCTTAAATCATTCGGTAGTGAGATTTAAAGTTAATTCCGGTCGGAGGTTCTCATTTCGGAGGGTATTAGCGTGACGTCTGCGACAAGCAAGAGCGACCATTCCTTATCGGACAGGTACGTCGCCTCAGATAACGTTTCCAACTACAATACACCGGTATTATTTTCGGAATTAAAATCGGTTCGGATTACCTCAAAGAAGATTGAAAACTGATGAACGCGTTCCATCATCGAATTAGTTCGTGCCCTATTCTATTCTAACCGCTTTAATGAGGTTCGGTTTATCCCACCGACTGCGCCAATTTTTCCTTCTATTTCTTATCGAATTCATTATTTGCGTCGTTTTTCCGCGTGTTTATAATCATTATCTTAAGTCGGAACAAGAAAAACAATCCATACTCGAATATTCACAACGAGTTTATTTTAATTTTGCGCTTCCAAAATTGAATAGCAAGTCGCCCGGGGCCATAATAAAAGAAAAAGTTAATTATTGCTCCCCTGCGCGCGTTTATTTCGCCTTTTTATTCCGCCCTCTTCCGTTTTAATTTATTGTTTTTCGTAATTCAATCAATTCTGAAATTAACCCGGAGCAAAAAAAGCCCATCACTGAATCTAGTAATCCGTCACGCTAGTTATTTTTTTGATTCGGATCAGATAAAATCCGCGCTTCTAATTGAGCGCGATGGAATGTAAAAATCATTAGCTTATAGTGGTGTATTTTTAGACCTCGCTGCTTTAATACCAGGGTTGCAATTATCGGAGATATAGGCTCATGTCGAGTAGTGATCGATACAATTCGGTATTCATTAATTTATGTAAATGAATCCAGAGTAGTAATGCAGCTGATTATGAATTTCCGGGATGGTTTCCGGGATTACTGTTACCCCGTCAGGGAAAAAACCGATACCGACCGGAAGGTTACGACGAATGATACAATTACAAAATAAACGGAGACTTGAGAAGCTTGTAAATATTACAAAGTGCTTACTAATTCCTACCAAAGTCAATTATACTCCACCGGCATTGCCGCCCACGGCGCCATGACTGAAAATAAGCCGAAGGGCTACACCTTGAATGCAAAATTGATACTCTGACGAATCGAGTTTCGTAAATAAATCAGTATTCCGCACCCAAAGTAAATTACTTTAGCGTCATATCCAGTGGCGGCTCGTCAGGGGGGGCCAGTTAGGCCAGGCCGAGTCTGTCACCGAACTTGTCAATTTGCGAGATTCATTTTTATTTTAAACGCAAGAATATAATTTAAAGCTATTTTGAAATCACCTGATTTTACTGTTGTTATTATTTTTTTAATTACAAAAAGCGTTATCTAATTTATTCACTTGCGTTCGGAAGCACAAATCGTGCCGGGAAGTTTAAATATTTTTACTGCGAGGAGCAGCAGCTGAGGCCGGCCGACTACAAGAATAAACGTCGAATAATGTCATATCTGCTATCGCTCTCTGTTTAGCGGAATTAAAGAGAAATAGCTATAAAGACTGATACGTGTCTGATACCCTCTGATTAACGCGCCTGCAGCAGTGATTGGTCAAATGTCTGCTAAAATCGGCCGGCCTTTTGGCAGTACATCAAGTTGTTATAGCGCTATCACCTTCTGTTTGTATAAGTTAGAAGGCAATAGCGATGAAACCGTACAATATTACGTTTCATCACTCCACTTCTGCCGTGCACTTTTCCATGCGGTTCCCCACTACCAGCACCGGCCGGCCGCTGTCTGTATATTGTGAATTTCTGCAGTCTTCACGTGGATGAAATTGGTTTAGGTTTGTTTCTAATTTCAGTAACAATGACAACAGTTAGTAAGAGCATTAGTAACTGATTTAAATTTTGATGCTGTTACACATCTATTAAATAATGACTTTCGACTTTTAACGTACGATGATCAATTCCTGGGATATAAAAGAAATGACCCGTTCGGAGCCGCGCATGCAACATTTAATCGAAGCACGGAGCAATAATAACGTCAGCTCCGGTGCAATAGCATATTAATAATTAATAATTAATACAGCATGGTATGAAAATTATGAATGGCTGACGGGGAGCAAGTCAAAAAACAAACTATTTTGTTGATATTGTTTAATTTTTGAATATGATGTTGACAATAAATTCAAAAAAACTTCAGAAAAAGAGTTTTGCCTCTGGTCGTCTGGTACGATTGACATATTGAGTTACCGTGCTCTTTTGCCATCTTCCTAATTTCTCAACCCTGCTCCTGATGATGCTACTTACGAAAATGTAGAAGCCTCCGAAATTATTTCTGTCTTTAATTTTAATCATATACCTACCATCCACATCAGCATATGTTGAACGCAGTTTTTCAGCTTTAAAGCGAATTACAAATTTTACTAGAAACTCCATTAGTCAAAATCGATTATCCAAATTATTCGTTTTAGCAATAGAAAAAGAAGTGCTTACAAACTTAACGGAAGATCAAAAGTTCTATAATCAAGTAATTGACCACTTTGCCAATACAAAACAAAGACGCATTGAATTGGTTTATAAAAATTTCTAATTTACTTTTTTAATTTTGTTTTTTACTAATAAATAGTTGTTGACGTTTCATGTTATATTTTTTGTTAGAATGTGTTACTTTATAACTTGAATGTTATTTTCATTTTTATTTGAGCTTATTGTCGTTATTTTATTATTATAGATGGCTTATATTGTATAAGTATATGCTTTACTTTATACCTATTTGAAGAATATTTTTTATTTTGTTTTACCAAGTTGTTAGGACTATATGAATTAACACCATACAGGAAGCAAATTATAGATAATGACTGACTTGAGGTCCCTGGTTCTTGTATTCTATGTCTTAAAACTTTGGGTTACTCACTGCTGGCCGACCCAACCAAAATAGTCACGAGCCGCCACTGGTCATATCCTACCGACTGCGCCATTTCGCTACGCATTTTTTAACCAATTATAAACACGTCCATTATACGACCCGCACGTCGCCCCTAAACCCGATCCGTTTAAAGTAAACGCAACTTTAAACTTAACTAAACGTCCGGAATTCAATTAACGCTTCCATAAGTTGCTCGGAAGCTCGTCTTTTTTCCCACCGATATGAGGTTATTGTTTGTTCGGCGAGTATCGCGCTCGAATTAAGTTTTCCGGGGGTATTTTAATATTGCATGGTGTTTCGGTCAACATGAATGCTTTATTTTGCGGGGCGTCGATTCTCTCGAGTGGATTATCGAATAAAAAGCGCCCATCAAGAGCGATTTATTAACGTGGAGTAAGAGTCCTTTTTTCGGAAAGCCCGAGGCTTCGATTTTCGCTTTCGAGCGAGCATAAAGACGGAAGGATTACATTAACAATTTCATTAAGTGGGTAGGGATGGGAGGGCGTTAAATATGCAACGTTTAGGGGGTTGTTTATGTTTGCATATTTTCATTAATTCTGGCCGGATGCATTGTTCTGCAGCGGGTTTACACCGGCGAACAATGGAGAAAACGAAAATGGAAACTTACTTCGGGCGGGGTTTGTCTTGTCGTTTTAGAGAAATATTAATAGAATGGAGGGTTTTTTGTTGACGTTTTATTAGTTAGGCGAATAATTTCTGTTCGCTTCATTACATTATTTCTATGTAATATTCATTAAATAATGCCCGAGGGAGACAACTTTTATCGGGTAAACGAAAGTTGAATTTTAACACGCACAAAATCAACACTCGCCTAATTTCGGGTGGAAGTTTTAAATTAATGATAGCGGTGAAAGGACATTAATTTTTATGCAAAGAGGGGTCACTGACAGCTCCTCAACGGATACGAAATCCTACGAATACGTAAAAATAACGGCCGAAAATTAAAAAACTTAAAATTCAAACATTTTCGACGAGCTAAAAGCAACAAAAATATTGACCCTGAGAATGAAGAGAATGAAATTAAAAAAAAGTACACTGAAATTTCATCAGTTTTAACATAATCTCAAATAATTAATGGAGGACACAAAAAAGGTGACGTTAAAACAAGAAAGACGAAAAACCAAGATTACAAAACACGACAAAAACAGGCGACAGAAAAAGGCAACAAAAAAGGCACAAGAGAAAAATTGGATACTTTTATTCTAGATAAAATTACGTGCCTAAAAAAGCGCATCTAATTTTTTGGCGTTTTTTTTTTATCTTTTTGAGTGTGTCGCTGTTTCTTTGTCGTCTTCTTTTTGGCTTTTTTTATGGGTCTTTTTTTGTTTCCTATTTCTTGTCCACTTTTTTGTGGCCTCTATTTGTTATCCTTTCTTTGTGCCTGTTACTGTCACATTTTTTAGTGACTTCTTTTTGTCACCTCTTTTAGTACCCTTTTTTCTTGATTTTTCTTGTCGCCCTTTTTTCCGCTTTTTTGCCTTTCTTGGGCACCTCATTCTCGGAGCCTCTTTCTTGGCGCCTAGCCTTTTTTTCTTGGCGCCTTTTTTATGGTCTTTTCTCTTGTCGCCTTTTGTTGTCGCATTTTTCTGTCCTCTTTTTTATAGCCTCTTTTTGTTACGCTTTTTTGTCCTTTTTGCAGCTTTTTTTCGTCACTTCTTTTTATCCCTGTTTTGTGTCGTCCCTTTTTTGCCGGCTTTTTTCGCCTCTTTGTTGTCTGTAGCCTCTTTTTTGTCCCCTTCATTTGTCGTCCTTTCTTTATCGTCTTCTTTTTACAGCCTTGTTTTCAGCTTTTCTTGTCGCTCCTTTCTTGTCTTTTTTGTCGGCTTTCTCTATCGTCGTTTCTTTGTTAGTCGCCTTTTTTGTCTCTTTATTTTCACCTCTTTCTTATTGTCTCTTTAT